AATCTGCGGGAGGAACATGCTCCTCCCATTCCAGTCTGAGAGGAATTTGTACCACATCTGGAGGTCAGCAGTCACGGGACAGTACAAGGATTTGCGGACATAGTCGTTGGAGAAGGTGGGGAACAGGGTGAGGAGCCTGGAAATGAAAGCCCTGCCCTGGGGGATTATGCGCATGGCGAAATTGTGACCCCAAAAGTAATCTTAATTCTTTACGATTGCAAGACCCCTTGTGCATGTAGTTACTAATATCGTGTAGGATGTGATCGATCTTAACTCTAGGGAGGCTGGCCATCATAGTTGATGAATTCAGCAAAATACCAAGAAAGCTGATGATCGTGTCCTGCCCTTCAGTTTTAGTGGGTGACATGGGGACACCAAGGGAGGTGAATAACTTGATTGCTTTGTCTAGACTATGTGGGGGGGGTGGAATTAGATTTGATGAACAAAAAATCGTCTAAGCAATGTATCACATTTGGACTCCTGCAGGTATTAAGGAGGAGCCAGCACAAAGCTTCCGCGAACGTGTCAAAAATCCTCGGACTACTCTTGGCCCCAAAGGTGAGCTTTGTAAAAAAGTAGTAGGCATCTTGCCACTTAACACCATGCAGGTGCCACAAAGAGGGGTGTATAGGTAACAATTTAAAAGCATTTACAATATCCGTCTTGCTAAGCCAACCCTGCCGATCTGATTGCCTCAATAGTGGAGTATTGAAGGGAAAATTCCTCAGAGGGAATCAATGAGTTTAGGCTGGGAATAGCTGAAGAGTGAGGTGCGGATAGGTCAATGATGAGTCTCAGTTTATCTGAATTTTTACTGGAAACCAGCCCGATAGGGTTAGTTCTCCAGCTGGAAAAGGGGGTTTACAGATAGGCCCAATGACAAACCCCTGATCCACTTCAAGTTGTAACAAGGTAGTGACTGAAGTAGGGTGATTAATGGCAGACTGCAAATTGTGACACTCTAATACCCCCCCCAGGCATGTAAATGAGCCCCTGGGTGAGACCTGTGCATACAAATTCCACAAGATGTTTGGAGGGGTGAGTGGACAGCATACGTGCAAATACAGGAACGTTCACCGGAGACAAATAAGGTTTCTGGTACATTTTATTTGGGCACATGGATTTCGCATGCGCCCTGAAACAATGCAAGCGTGTAATAAGCGGCAGGCGCTGTAACTGCAGGAGCCCTCATTGAAGTTGTTGCAAATCTGAGATTTGCTTAGGTACACTACTGGACGACCCAGTTTGTCTCTGGTCTGTTTCTCAGCCCTTGGGGGATGCTGTGAGGATGAGCAGGGAGCGCTGTCCGGACACAGGGGGCAAAGATTAGCCGCGTGAGCGGGTGACGTACATATGGCACAAGCTGGTGTCCTTAGCCCCGCGAAATGTCTGAGGAACAGTTCATTGTCCAGTTGGCCAAAAAGAAATGCACCTTATACACACACTTATATACAAGGATACTTATCAGTGGTTAGTGAATGCAGCCTCCCTCAGATCGCTCCCAGCTAGCAATCAACTTGAACACAAGAATATACAAAAACACAACGAGGGAACCGGCTGATTGTCTAAATGAAGATAAATAAAAAGAGGTATAGTGTAATACAGTTTTAAAATATTAACACTGCGCAATATGAAATGCACTCACAGGATATTGGACAGTTCAGGCATATATGGTGCCACCCCTGATGATATGGGGGGCTAGAGAAATCCCCTGGACACTTCCACTCAAAATGCAGGACTCCAGGTGAAGATATGAAAAAAGCGGCTTTAATTGTTTAAAAATATAAAATAGATACAAATAAAGGTCCAGTTGGCTCCAATCCATCTGGATGCCATACTGGGACAACGTGGCCGACACTTTTGATGAAAAGGACTTGTGGTAATCGTAAAAAGTATAGCCACCATACTTATTACCTAGGTCCATCACCTTATGCATATATAGATCCAGTTCTTCCCTCCTATGGGGGTGAACTGCACATAGAATATCCCTAAAGATACCAAAAGCTAGAACAAAGTCGGGAATGGCCAGTTTCTCACTGAGTCTGGGGTCTCTGGCTTTTAAAACCACCGAGATGTCCCCGTAGTCATAAGAACGGTTTTCCACGACATCCTGGGAGGCAATGAGCAGTGAGACTAAGTTAACATCCTTGCCTTCGAGGATGTCCTTTTTGAGATTAGCCGGAACCATGTGGGCAGGATTAATAACGTGGGCGGCTGCCTTAGTGGATATGGAATTTCCTGGTATTGCTGTGGGTATGACCGGAATTACTTCGGTGAGAGGGCCAGGAGGCAGTACTGGGAAGCTACGGGCTTCTAGTCTCTCCAGCCTGTCGTTGACCTTCCCCATAGAAGAGATTAGGGAGGCAACCATAGCGTGGAAAGTCGGTTCTTGAGAGCCGCTTGTGCCTTCCCCTGAGTCTGTAATAAGGGTATCAGTTCTTAGCAATCTGAACAGTTTTGCTTTCCTGGCAGTAGCCGGGAAAGGGATACTGTGTTTGCGCAATTCTGCCGTGATGCGGGGGGATAGTCCATGATCTGATGGACGTGGGACTTCCCATGTCACCCTTGCGAGTCGGGGTAACTAACCTACCAGGGGTGCTAGGGATTGACATATCCTCACCATCGTCTGGGAGTTGGGACATACTGAAAATATAATAAATGGATAGTGTTGGTAACCAGGGGTGGGAAATAACAGGTGTCTAGCTAGTGCCAGGTGGCGAAAAAATTATGCTAGGATTTGTGGCAGGTGAGGCCCTGCTAGTGCCAAGCGGCTAGAGAGGCTCTACCTATGAGTTGGCGCGTGGGGCGTGGTATCATACAATGGTGATGGGATGTTGGCCTCTCCATGAGTAAACAGAGGGGTATTTGGCCGTGACTGGTGACGCCCTCTCTATATAATGTGCCAGGCGACTAATTATGATTTGGCCCAAGGGGCGTATAGTACCTCGAAGTGGAGGATGGGTGTTGGCCTTGCGGACTGCTAGGACTAAGGGGCAGGGAAAAATATCTAAAAGGCCGTGTCAATAATAATGGGAACCACAAACCTGCAGGATAAGTGGACCCTGGCTTCTGTATGATAGAAAACAGGGGTATCTTAAGCAGGGAGGCTTAGGCTAGATGATCCATCCAGGGGTATTCGGAGTTCCTGGAGATATGAGAATTCAGATAAGGTACTCTTGTAAGACATTACACATAAGATTGTATAACTGAAAGTAGACAGCGCCTGGAGGGTATAGATTCCCAGCCTCATAACTGGGAGTAGGCGAAAAGGTGGACATGAAAAAGGAGGATAGCTCTATACATAAACCGTACCCCCTGCAGTCACCTGTGTCATCTGAGAAACGTTTTTGGTGACTGCAGAAAGCACTGACCCCCATACAGACACATGCTCCCAGCAGTAATGTTCTCTTAACATCAACTGGGATTGGTTATCTCAAAAACTTAAAAGCTTACAACTAACAATGCAGATATAGTATGATAGTATCTAACCGCCAGTAAGTATGCATATATCATTATAACTGCTATACCTGTAAAGCATGTATTATATATATGTATTTAGCATGAGTGTCCCCTTACAGCAAATAATATACAGAACAAAAAGCATTTAACCAGAATTACATGCTGGGATGTATTGTAACAGAGACAAACTTTGATATGCTGTATTTTGTGAACTGTAGCCCATTTGATGGTCCCTGGGGCTGAAACTAAACCAGTGCCAGACCAGCACAACGCCCACCCTCCCCTTTAACCTCTGATAGACGGCGGACCGGTGGAAAACAGGGACTCCACCCGGTAAAGGAGTCTCTTAGCCTGCTCCCGCCCGTGCCGTTAGTCTGCCCCAGCGGCCAGCTTACTTCCCCCTTAACCGGTGGATGACGGCGGCCGGCGGGAACAGGGACTCCTCTCGGTAAAGGAGTCTCTGAGCCTGTTCCCGCCCGTGCCGTGAGTCTTCCCAAACAAAACCGCCCACCTTCCCCCTTCAACTGTGTAATGTCGGCGGGAACAGGGACTCCTCACGATAGAGTCTCTGAGCCTGCTCCCAAGCAAGTATGGTTCCCCCTGGCTCACCGCCCCGTCAAGCTCTGGAGCCCGTCGGGCTGGGGAGCCGGTATGGAGGTGCTGGGTATGCGCCGGGTACTCATGGAGAGACGTCACCAAGGCGCCGCATCTCACAGGAAGTGACGTAACGAAACAGGAAGCCGGAAGGGAAGAAGCCGACGAGTATCACCAGCTGTTCGTCTAGACCAACGAATGTAAGTAGGGAAAGGGGGGAGTCCCTTAAGTAGGTATATAGCCCCTCCCACAACTTCAGGCCGTGCCTTCCAATATAACATCCCCAGGCTCCCGTACCCATTCAGTCTTACTCTGGTACAAACATGGCTTAATGTTTGGATTGATGCAGTCCCTCTCCCCATATACTCAATACAAGACCCTTCCTCCTAGTTATGTAGTTTGTTCTCTCCACAGAATATGAAGATATATAGGTTTGGCACGGTACATTCAAAGACTTCCCACAGTTTGATCTACACATACCTAATTGACTATTTGTCTGCAAATGAGATGCAGGCTTTATACAAGAATGGCATGACCGAGAGTGCTCTTAATGTGGCTTTTCTACAGCCAACTACTAGTTCTTTTCTGTGTACAAAGCATACTAGTGGTGTATTGGTGTTTATTTCAAATACAGCACACTCACAATGAGAGCAGAATCATATACTTACTTATTTAAATCAACTGCAGGTATTACACAAAAGGTAAACAATTTTTTGTTTTATTTTTTTACTTGACGGGAGTAGAAATTACATGGAGTTTGTTAATTAAATGGCTGTTTCACTGGCAGCATAGCCACTTTCACAATCCACCTGAATATTCTCTCACCTGGTGAAGGCTATTAACATGGAGATGTTGCTCTAATACACAGCACTGATCTACCAGGTACAATATGTATTTTATTTTAATAAGCTGGATGGATTTTAGGAGTCCTATTTTAAATAAAAATGGCCTACTATTTCAACTTCTCCCAGTCTGTATTTGGATCGTGGTTTTTGGGAGTTGTAGTTCAACTGTTAGCCTTCTGTACCAGGAAGCAGCAACTGAACTTCTCCAAGAACCCCCTTGCTGTGCCTAAAAGATTTGTGTTTGGACACAAAAATTTAAAGTGTGAGTAAATTTGTATTACTTTTATTTTGTTGAGTTATAAATATGAGAATGGGTAGAATCTAGCATGACGTGTCCTTTAAAATGTGATGCGATTACTAATGCATTCAGATGTTCTTCTGCTGTCACTGTCTGACATGTCTACACTAAGTGGAATACTATTTTTGTGTGACGGGTTCTAGTGTCTATCTACACTGTCTTGGCTGCCCTGACCAGTAGAATTGGGGACTTGGTCACTAGACAGTAACTAGAAACATAGATCAGTGTCACACTTTCCAATTTTGGCCCATTATTTTCAAGTTTCTCTCCCGACAAAAACATAAATAAATCACAAGTCATTGAACAATATTTATTAATTAGGGCTATTTTGTTACAGCAGTTCAGAGGAAATTCAAATGGCGGATAACATTTGAGTTAATTTATAGAAGAACAGCAGTTAACCAAAAAACATAATGTTGTGCGCCTAAGTGATAGAATAAACGAATGAGCTAAATCCAGTACAGTAAACCAACAGGTCTTTAAAATAATAATCATTACTGGAAAAATTTCTGTGAAAATCAGGCCATTCCTAATAGAGCTCCACTTCCTGGCCAGAGCTAGAACAGCAGCTAGACTCTTACTATGGTTACAACAGAAGCCTGTTGTGGAGCAATAAATATCAGCAGTATTCCAACAGATGTGAAAAATGTAACTTGGGGCATCCTCTTTTGGGCTTCTTGTGGCGAGTGGGATGGTTCACCTGAAAGACAAAAGGTACATTAGCATCATTTTG